TCATCCGGAAGAAATATCGTTTTTTTTTCTTTCGGATTAAATTTTCATAAAAACGATGCAATGAGCAGGTGTTTTTGTGTCGTAACAAATAATCGATTTTGTTTTCATCGCTTCAGTAACATTCGTGAGCCTCGGCGTTTGTTCTTGCTGAGCGAGTTAGTTTGGGTGAATGAAAATCAAAAGGAATCTTATACGTAACATCAAGAAGAAGCACTTGAAATTTCGGGGGTGCATACTGAGTAAAGACGGCTTGGAAATTCTGATACTCACAAGGCAGATTGAAGGCAAGAGAGACACATGAAAACAACCAATGTCCCACTTACTGAACTTGAGTAAATGGATGGCGGGACAGGGCTTAAGAGAAATAACAAAAAAAAAATTATTAATAGCTTGTGGAGTGCATTAATGATTAAATAGACCGATCCTGTGAGTATCGACAAAGTTTTAGAAAAAATAATGATGTAATGAATATGCATACACCTGGGTTCCCCCTCACAGTAATATGATTGGCTGGTGTCAGCCATAAATACAGACTGATGTGGAGGTACAAGGACTGCGCCTATTGGCTACGCCTATAAGTCTTCGCCTATTGCCTATCACTATGACGAGGACCAGTCCATTACGGTTACCTGCTAGATTGTCCTACCCGGTTACAATAGTCAACAACCACTTGCTACTTCGAACAAATATATTCCTTTTCATGACATATCAAATACAAAGAAGAAAACTTAATATCAGGAACACAACGTCGAAATTTCTAGGCCACATAATGAGAAAGGATGGCTTGGAAAATATGATACTCACAGGACAGATTGAAGGCAAAATGGATAGAGGTTAAACTTGCATAACCTACTTAGCGAGCTTAAGTGAATAGATGGCGGAACAGGGTTTAAGAAAAATAACAAAAAGGCAAAATTTATTAAGAGCTACAAAAGACAGGAAATAGTGGAGAGCCATGATCGTCTATGTCCTAAGGGGAGACGGCACGTAAAGAAGAAAAATAAGAATTTCTACTAATCAGTGAGTTTGATGCTCCATACCTATGGACTTGTGGCAAACAAAACTATAGTAAATAACATGGGAGCTTCGGAATGATTAGTGAGCGAATCGGCTGGATATTATCACGATGTGTTGAGTTCGATCCTTACAAGGGCCTGATATTTTGGGCCTTGTACCCAACGAAACAATGCTAAATAACTAGCAGCCTGAGGATATGGTAATAGTTAGCAATTTAGCATTGTTGACTATTAAACTTGAATAGTGAATTCGATCCGCACCCGGTGCTCTATAAATGTGTCCTTGTGCCAAATTCAGCTATTTTAAATGGGAGCCTCAGTGCTGGTGCAATAGTTAGTGAACCAATCTGATTGACTATTATTACAAAGTAGTGAGTTCGATCTTCACTAGGTGCGTCGTATTTAGGGCTTTGTGCCAAAAGAATCATATCAAGGGCCTTGTGCCAAACAAATCGAAACGAATCAGTTTGGAGTCTCGTTAGTTAATTGAGCTAATCAGATTGGCCACGATGACTAGGGACTGAATTCAAACTCCAGAAGGTGTCCCGTATTTGTGGCCTTGTACCAAACGAAGCTATGCTAAATAACTTGGAAGTCCTTGGATGGACTAATGGTTAGCGAGTTAGTATGATTGATTATAGTGTATTCAATCTTCATCTAGTGATCCATGCTTATAACCTTAATGCCAAACTAAGCAATGTTATATAAGTTGGAAACCTCTCAGTGGGCCAATGGTTAGTAAACTAATCTAATTTAACACTTATTAATAAGTAATGAGTTGGTGTCTTAGCTTTGACCTTGTACTAAACTAAGTTATAGCAAATAACTTAGAAGCCTTGTAGTGATGATATGGTCAATGAATTAATCGGATTGGTCATTCTTACCAAGTAGTGAGTTCGATCACTAATACATGCCCCATATTTGTGTCTTTTTGCCAAATTAAGTTGTACTAAATAACTCGAGAACGAATGATGGGGTAATTGTTAGTGTGTTCATCTGTTTGTCCGTTGCTATTGAATAGGTTGCAAAATAGTATTACTTCATGATTCCATCATCTGAGAATTTGGCATCTTCCGAGGTGACGAACTGGTCTTCCAGAGAATGGAAACTCTTCGAGATAATTTTGTAAGGATCGAAACAAGTGGTATTCTCGGAAATTGCAACATCAGACGAGTAGGATGGGTGTCATCAATTTTTATATAATGAGCATACGTTGATATTTACTGTCAATACACGCACACACACTCACACACTCACACATATATATATATATATATATATATATATATATATATATATATATATATATATATATATATATATATATATATATATATATATATATACCGGGTGTAAGAAAAAATTGTTTGATAAAGTTTTGAACCGTTGTATCTTAGAAATGATTAAAGATATGTTACTGGGATTCTCCGATGTTTTTGTTACACTATTGGACTCTACTTTAAACAATAAGAATGTATTTATCTCTGAATTGAAATGATGATCCCTCTTCCTGTTGTGACCTCCTGATCCAGTTTTCCTCTCTACTGTTCCCTCTATTTTAAACTTATTCACCGTTCTCTTGATGGTTCATGAATGGACTTTGAAGATGGAAGCCAGAGTATGAAGGTTGGTACCATTATTGAAGACATGAAAGATATTTTTTCCTCTCACTATTGCGAAGATATAAGGATGCTGGCACAAAACTTTTTTAACCAGTTCTCTTTCTAGCTGAATAACTCAAAGGCTTTTTCATTTATTCTTACGACAAATGGTCTCAACATGGCTAAACGGCTGAAAGCATGGAAAAAAGAAACTCAATTAATTTAGTGCTTATTAGATATTAAACTTTTGTAGGATAGACAATTATGCTGTTAAATGCTTTGTACAATTTTGCTATTAAACACGGTATATATATCGGAGAGCCGAGTTCGAATTCCAGTTGAATCCATTACATTCACTTACGTGCTAATACCCTTGGGAAAGGTATGAATCATCTTCTCCCCCCAGCTATGGGTAAATAGCAGGACAAACTGGGTTCTATAGCCTTGGATGGTAACTGGTCTAGGAGAAGGACAACTCTGAATTCAAAACCTGTGGAGGGTCGTTTGGGGACCTTGTGGCACGTGGTGCACCAGGTCTCTGTATTTGGCCCTTCAAAAAGTGTGGTTGGTTCTGCACAAAGCCTAATCCACTATAATCAAATCATATGCTGGTGTCTGGGCTGTCGGTTCCTAGTAAATGAGCTGCTTAACTCTCATATGTCGAATACGATGGGAGAGTCAATTATATATATATATATATATATATATATATATATATATATATATATGGTTAGTCAAAATTAAATGATAGAAATTTTTTATTCATAAAACATTCATCATATGTGCAAGATGATTTACAAGATGGTCTCAACCTGTTCGCCATCATTCTCAAGCATTTAAAGCCCAGACACTGATTTAATGGGAAATAAATGAAACCAGAGTTCGTATTTTGTCCTTGAGGTTATTTATTTCACGAACTCTCTTGCTATATACATGCTTTCATTCAGCATACCCCATAACCCAAAATCATATGGCGTCAAATCAGAGTATTGTGGATATCAAAGCAATAATCAACCGCGATAACAACTACTGGAGCTGTGAAAGAGCGATAACAGCTATTGGACTTGAGAAAGTGCAATCACAGCTTTTGGAATACAGAAAGAGCGATAACAGGTGTTGTATTTGAGAAAGAGAAATAATAGCTATTGGACTTCAGAAAGAGCGATAACAGCTACTGAACTTCAAAAAAGCGATAACCATTTTCTTAAGAAAGTGTGATAACAGCTATTGGACTTGAGAAAGAGCGATAATAGCTATTGTAACACAGAAAGAGCGAGCGTAACTATTGGACTTGACAAAGAGCGATAATAACTATAGGACTTGAGAAAGAGTTATAAGAGCTACTGGACTTCAAAAAAGCGATAACTATTTTCTTAAGAAAAGATGATAATAGCTATTGGACTTGAGAAAGTGTGATAGCAGCTATTAGAATTCAGAAAGGGTAATAATAGCTGTTGGCCTTGAGAAAGCGATATCTATTGAACTTCAGAAAGAGTGATAACAGCTGCTGAAATTCAGAAAGATTGACAATAGCTGTTTTACTTGAGAAAGAGCGATAACAGATTTTGCACTTCAGAAAGAGCGATAACAGTTACTGGACTTAAAATAATCGATAACTATTTTCTTAAGAAAGAGTGATAACAGTTATTGGAATTCAGAAAGAAAGATAACAGCATCTGAACTTCAGAAAAAGCCATAACAAGTTGTTCTTAACAAAGAGTGAAAACAGCTATTGGACTTGAGAAAGAGCGATAACAGCTACTGGACTTGAGATAGTTATTTTTCTGAAAAAAATTTTTAAGAGGAAGATTTTATAAATTTCAACCGGCATTAGTACTACATTTTCGGTCAGTGAATGCGAAATGTTCCCTTATAATGAGACGGCTAATTTTACCATCAACATTACGAGTAAGCGAATTCAGAGATAAGAGTAATGAATCTATTTGTTTGCACGTTGGTTAAATCTATTTCTAAATAAGTAAATCTATATAATTGTAGTTATTATTTTTTTTTTACCTTTTAGACTTCGCCTTGATTCTGGTTCACTTCACTCGACTCTCTTCAATCACCGTCTTATTCACTTTCTAGCTTCTTTGTTGCGTTTTATTTTTTTTCTCGATGTTATCTGTCTTTTCTTCTTTCTTCCTGTCGTATTCTTCAATTCAACACATTTTCTATTAACCTTTTCTTTCTGGTGTCTCTTCATAGCCTCTTCGTATTTTTTTGTCAACCCGCCCCCATTCCTATCCTAGATTCATATTCGTCAGCCTCGTTTCCATTACTGGGATATTTCAATTAATATCTTTGATAGATTTCAATGAACAAAGACTTTTCTTTACCTTCGATTCAAAAACAACTTGTGTTTCATGTCGGATGTAACATCATGTTGCCTTCAACTCGGCTTTTGCCTTGTGAAAATGTAATTAACCTGCGTCTTTGATCATCTTTATAAATTCTCTTCTTTCTTTTAGCGTTCTTTGATCTCGTTAGCTTTCCGCTTTCTCACCCTTTCTTCTTTTCTTCTCTTCGTCCTTCGCCTACTCTTAGTCCTTTTGTTCTCCTTCCATCTTTTCTTCATCTTTCTCCTGTTTACTATCTTCTTTACTTTTCTCCTTTTTTTTAAATCTTTTCTTTCTCCTTCTATTATTTTTGTCGTCTTCTTCTTCATTTCCTTCCATCTTCGTTCTCCTTCTCATTTCCTCTTTTTGTTTTCCTCTTCTAGTTTCGCTTCCTCTTCTTTCTTCTATTTTTTTATTCTCCCTCTCTTCCCTTCTTTTAAAAATCTCCTTCTTTCTCCTTGTTTATTTTTTTCATAATTTTTCTTTCCCCATCTCGTCTTTATTCTCTTCTTCTTCCCCTTTCTCCTTTGCTATACTTTCATCTTTGTTCTCTTCTTCCTTCTCCTTGACTCTGTTCTTCCTCCTTCTCTTATTCTCATTTCTTTTCTTTCTCTTCCTTGTCTATTCGTTGTCTCTTTTACTCACTCATTGGTTTTCTTCGCTCGCTCTTCTCTCTTTCTCCTTTTTATTCGTCCTGTTTTAGTTCTTTTTCTTCTCATTCTTCTTCTTCTTCTTTCTTTTCTCATTCTTCTGTGTAGGTTCTTTTACCTCTTTAGTTCTTATTTGTACTTTCTCTTTTTCTTGAATCTTTAGTTCCTCCTACTCCTCTTTAGTCGGTTGTACCTCTTTCTCTTCTTCAATTTGTATTTCCCCCTACTCTTCATCTTTTTAAATCTTTACTTCCTCTTAATCCTATTTTGTCGTTTCTTATTCTTCTTGATGTTGAATCTTTCTTCTTCTTCTTTTCTCCTCCTCCTCCTTCTTCTTCTTCTTTACTACTCCCCTGTTTTATTCGTTTCTTTTTCCTTGTCATCTTGAACTTTTTTCTCCTACACGCTAATTATTTCTTTGCCTCTTCTTTTTTTTTACCCCTTCTTGTCCCCACTTTCTTCTTTCTCTTTTTCATTTGTGCTTTCTCTTCCTTTGTTCTTCTTTAGACATATTCACCTTTTCTTTCATTTTGAATTCTTCAATATTTACTTCTCTATCATTTGTTCCTCTTTCTCGTGCACTTTCTGTTCTTAATATTCTTCTTTCTCATTCTTTCTCATTCTTCTTCTTCTTCTTCTTCTTCTTCTTCTTCTACTACTACTACTGTTTCTTTATCTTCAGTTTCTATTTTTCTATCTTCCTCTTTTTTATGCCGTTCTCTTTCTCCTCTTTCTTCCGCCATTTTCCTTCTTTTGTTCCTTCCCTATCTCCATATATTTTCACTTTTTCTGCTTTTTTATTCTTCCGTCTTTTCTGCTTTCTTTCTCCACTCCCTTCCTTTTCTTCCTCCATCTCTTCCTCCTCCTCCTCCCTTCTTCTATTTCCTTCTCTTCTTTTTTCTTCGCCTGTTCCTTTTTTTCTTTATCCGCTAATTCACGCCGCCTTTCCTTTATTTTCTGACCCATTACAATTTTGTTCCATTACTCCTCTCAATGATCTCATTCTCGTTTCCCCCCTCCTTCTCCTCCTCTTTCTTCTTCTTCTTCTTTTTCATCCTCTTCTTTTCGTCTTTTTCAATCTCCTCTTTTATTAGGTTAGGGCATAATTATCAGGCGTTTTAGTTTTTTTTATTTTCAGGTTATAAAAATGAAGATGGTTACTACGCTCCGGAATAATCATTTAAAAATGTTATTGTTGAATTGTTATGCTTCTTTTTTCATAATAAAATATTGTTTGAAAAACGCCTGATAATTATGCACCAACGCAATCATTTGTCTTTCTACTTTTACTTTTCTCTCTTTTTACCTTTCTTGACATTAGCCTTTTTTTCCTTCTTCTTTGTATCTTTCTTTCTTTTTTCTTTCTTATTCTTGTATTTTCATCCTGCACTTTTTCTTTTCTTCTCTCCCTCTTTTTTCCACTTAATTTTACTTTCTCTTCCTTCGTTTTCTTCTCCTTTTTCTTTTTCTCTCTTCTTCTATTCCTCTTCCTTTTTATTCTTCTCTTCAGCCTCCTTTTATTTCTTTTCTTTCTCTTTTATTCCCTCCTCTTTCTTTTAATTATTTACCTGCTCCGCCTTATTTAAAATGATTTCCTTCTTTTTATTTCACCAGACATTTCACTGGTTTTCACTTTTCCGTCTCTATTTTCTTCCAAACACGTTTTCTTTCTTCCTTTTTTCTTAACATTGTCGGTTAGCTCCTCCTGAATGTTTGAAACCGCAACTAGGGGACGCTCTCCGGACTATAAATACTCAGCGATATTTTTTATCATTATCTTCTGATCTCATTCGTAAACATGTAAATCTCTCCCGAAGAACGCGTTCCCTTTTGGGAAACGCATAACAATACATATATAGACACACAAACACACATACATTCACTCGCTACACATACCATTAGATTTTCACATTCATTTGACACACATATCTTGCGAGATCAATTAAAACTGATTCGTGTACTCGGTTCTACACTGGGTGCTCCATAATTGCAACCTTGTGCTACATCTATGCTACGATATGTAAATCACTATTAGACCCATCCTCCAATGGGCGCTTCTTCCTGGTGTAATGTTTAGCAATCTTGTCTTGCCAGATCAATTAGAAGGGTATCCTTTGTCTCGGCTTGCAACCTTGTGCCGCCTGTAAGCTACGTTTACTAAATCAATATTAAGACCCCGCCTATTACAATCTCTTTTGTGAAATCTAAAGAACCATCTTTTATTGTATTTCTATCCTCCCTATTCCCCCCTTATAAATATAAAAATAAGCCAATTCCATAAAACAAAACAAAATTAATCTGAGGAATTTCCTTCTAGAAACGAAAGGCATCACGACTTTTTCCCAATTTTCGCATTCATTAAAATATATATATATATATATATATATATATATATATATATATATATATATATATATATATATCCTGTAGTTCACTGCTACCAGCAAGTTGAAATATTTCTTCTCTGATGGACGAAACTAGTCAAGGAATCTAAATGAAATAATAATAATAAAAACGAAGAATATTAATCTACAACCCCGCGTGTCTGAAGATTTTAATTTTTAATTCTTTATTGTTCAACATATATATATATATATATATATATATATATATATGTGTATGTGTGTGTGTGTGTGTGTGTGTGTGTGTGTGTGTGTGTGTGTGTGTGTGTGTATTAGGCAGCAATCCTTCTTTCATGCATTTCATTAAAAACGACAGACAAGGCACTTTTATTTAGTTTTTCTAAAATTTCTCATGCGATCTAATAATTTTGTTTCTTTTCGGATAATAAATTTTATAAAAACTGTCTGAATGTTCTTTTTATCCAAGCGCTTTCGGCTATACATTTAGCCATTTTCAAGGATTATAGTTTAACTGTTAAAATAAGAAATAGTTTGTTGTATGTATGTTTTATAAAGTGTTTTCATTTTTTCTTCAAAACACGGTCAAGATATTATGTCCATGTTCAAAGTTAATATTATTAAGTGTTGGTTTGTTTCTTTCTATTAATAAGGCTTCCATTATTTTTAACCTTTTTTTTTTTTGCATGTAGATGATGCTATTATATTAGTGTTGTCAACAGGTGTGTTCCGAATAGTGCACAGTAGGTCTCCATGAATATTTAAATGAGATCTAATTGAGTTATGGTCAGAAAGGTGTAGAGTGAGTCTGCGTGTCAAAGATGTTGTAGTGTGGCCTATATAATTATTTACGAATTTTGATTGATCAGGAATACAATTCCTAAATGGGCATTTAAATTCGTAAATAATATTTGCCCTATTTAATTTTGTTCTAAGAGGTGAATAATTATATTTTATTTATTTATTTGTGTATGTGTGTGTGTGTGTGTGTGTGTGTGTGTGTGTGTGTGTGTGTGTGTGTGTGTGTGTGTACCGGGTGTAACAGCAAAATTGTCCAAATCATGCAATAACATAAATATGCACCCAACAAATTGTTTAAACTATAAGAAATTACCAACTAATCAACTTTCTTTTATCCAGGTTTGCACTTAAGACGATTAACCATTTGTCGTAAGAATCACTGAAAAACACATTGAGTTATTCAGCTAGAAAGAGAGCAGGTTAAAATCATTTTGTGTCAGTCAACTGTCTTTCCAAGTGAGCAATGGTGAGAGGCAAAAGATCATCCAGGACTTAAGTAAAGGCACCAACTTTCATACTCGGGCTTCCATCTTCAAAGTCCATTCAAGAACCATCAAGAGAACGGTGAATAAGTTTAAAATAGAGGGAACAGTAGAGAGGAAAACTGGATCAGGAGGTCACAACAGGAAGATGGATCATCATTTCAACTTAGAGATAATGAGAACAATTAGAAAAGATCCAATTCCATCCATAAGATGTTTGAAACGCAAAAGAGGAGTTTCAGCTATGACAGTTCAAAGATCAGTGAAAAAAGATTAGCAAATGAAATCGTACGTGAAAAAGGTGAGGCAGCTTGTTACACCGGAACAGAAAGATAGAAGGTTAGAGGGTGAAGACCATCTTGAATAAGTTAGAAAATGATCCTGAAATAATATATATAATATATATATATATATATATATATATATATATATATATATATATATATTTCAACTTTATATCAATCCTTCATGAGCTTCCGATCCTTAACTATGATTAATTAATGATGAATATGTTATTTTTGTTTATGATCAATTTCATTACGATTCTTCTGTTAAGATTAGTGATTAATTATATATTATTATAGCTCAAAGTGGAGTCCAGTAGTGTTATAAAAAAAAAACCTCGGAGAATTCCAGTAAGATATCTTTAATCATTTCTAAAATACAACGGTTCAAATCTTAATCTTACAAATGGATAATTTTGCTGTGAGACGATTTGGATGATTTTGCTGTTACACACAATATGTATTAGTCTTCTACCTGCAAACAAGTCAAAAAAGCCACTAAGCCGGAAGGGGGGTTTACTGGGTGTGTGAGAATATGAGATATGGAAAATCTTATTAAGGAGAGAGAACAATAAAAGGAGAGAAATTAAGTAGGCATAAAATAACGATTATTATTGCATTTGTAATTTTGAAAATCACACTTGACGGAAATCAAGAAGCCAGAAAAATGTTTCACAAGTGACAAGTGCAAAAGAAGAAACTGTCAGCATAGAACTTACGGTTTCATATAGCCATTTCAACTGTAAAAGGGTTCCTCTTCTTCTTTTTTCCTTTTCGCTTCTCTTCGTATTTTTTCTTCTCTTTATATTCTTCATTTACTTCCTATTTTTCTTCCTCCTTCTCATCATTTCTTTTCTCTATTCGTTTTTCTTTTCCTATCTTCTTCTTTCCTTTCAACTTCTTCACTTATTTTTACCTTATTTTTTCTACTTTCTTCTGTGGGTTACACTACTTGGCTTCGCCAAACGCCCGTTAGGTGGTGCTGTTTATGTCCTATAAAATGACAAACATTTCCTTCCTCTATGTCTTCCTCCCTTTTGATGGAAGATGTATCAGATGGTAGATGAAGATTTCTCCGCTGGCAAACGTTCCTTTCCCGGTCGACTGACGATTTAACTCTTATAGACATGCACAAGTGTGTATCAGAGTTGCACATAATTATTAAAGTTGTTTTTTGTCTATTGTTTACCTTTTTGTACTGTGTACACCTTGATGTAATTTCTTTTTCTTAATACACGCTTTAATTGCTTCTCTAATTTTCCATGTTTTGTTATTCACGGTTGCCCGGACTCACATGAGTCCATCAAATATTGTTTGCGGGACAAATTTACCGGAAGCTATTAAAGGTTTAATGTAAAACGAACACATCTCGCAACACACACACACACTCTCTCTCTCTCTCTCTCTCTCTCTCCACTTGGTTCTTTTCCTATTCTTTTCGCCTTTACCCTTCTCTTCTTATTCTTCATATGCTAACTTTTTTCTTTCCTTCCTTCTCATCCTTTTTTTTCTTCTCATTTCATTTCCTCTCTTATTACTTTGTTTTTCTGTCATTTTTCTTTCTTTTTCTTCCTATCAAA